TAAGTCACTGTGAAGCCAAAATAACTTCCCAGAGCATCTCACCCATACACAAGGTGCCTCCACAAACACACAGGGTCAAAATTGGAAAAAATAACTTCAGAAAACTGACTTTTGAATTTGAAAACTGTTTCATTATAATTTAATTAATTTTCATTTTGTCAAGTACTTTAGGAAAAGTCCACTTTGCAAACAGGAAGCTAATTAAGAATACTAAAACATAAGCCTGAGATGGCATACTGAATTTATCTCTCTCGAATCTGCAGGTCTGAGTTGCCAATGTATGCAAAAGAAGGATTTCCTCAACAGTTTCAGAGGAAAGAGTTCGTGGGATGCCATCAGCACCATCAGCAATGATCTGCATTTCCATCTGAAGTTTAAGAGAAGCCACCTCTGACAAAACGTAAGTACTACAAATAGCAAGGCCTACAAAAGTAACCGCAGCTTGTATCCACTTGTTTTCACCTCACTTACTACAGCAAGTACTTGACCCAAGCTGACAACAGTCCCAGAAGTGTTTCAGTTTGCATACATTTTCAACTGTCATGCTTTGTTGAACACAAACAAAAATAAAAGTGACATCAAGTTTTTAGAGTCACAGAATTTCAGCAAAACTCTGAGGATCACAAACGCAGCTAACAGTAGTAACTTACCTAGCAAATATATGACCGTAAATTTGCAACTGGGAAATCTTACAATATTTCAGTGGTATCCCTGTGGTTAAACAGAGCACTTCAATATCTTCTAGTAGGAAAGATGTTTATTTAAGTGCAAAAGCAAACTTGTCTTTGCAGCTGCAATATGGATTCCCAAACTACCAGGCTTGAAGATGATGTAATCAAGTCCTTAAAAGCTATAGACATGAATTTCTTCTGCGATAATCATGCATCATAATCTGCAATAAAGGAGAAGTTATCAAGTAAGGACAAATCACAACACAGCTGCGTACTGTCAGGTCAAACTTCAGGTCTCCTGAGAAATTTCCTCAACCCTGCAAAACCCAGATTTCCATTACAAAGGCAAGACAACCTCTAGAATCTATACCCACAGCATGCCTGCCTGCCTAACAGGAGGTGAACTGTATCCTTCTGTGTATCCATAGAGAGAGACAAGCCTAACCTCAGTGCTTTCTGTACCTAGACGTTAGTGCTTGCTTACACAAGCAGACAATCCCTATGAAACACAACAAGAACTATTACATTAAAAAAAAAAAAAAAGAGCCACTCCATATGCCTCCTACCTTTTTCTTTTCCCATAACTCATCTACTTGTATCCTTCTCCCAAATGCCTAAAATGGGCTGAAGATGGACTACAGACATGTCTGAAGTGACGGGGAATGTCTCCAGTCCTAGGTACTTCCAAACAAACCATGGAAAAGTAGAGCTGGCCGCTCTTTCTGACAGCCACTTGGCTATAAAGTCTCTTCACTGTCCGAAGACAACCAGTGGAGCTGCCCGGCCTGCATCCTGGGGCAGGCCGCTGGGATGCTGCGTGTGGGTGAGCTTTTCAGGGAGGGGCTTTTCAGGGAGGGGAGGAGAGGAGGAGCAGCAGTGGGGAGGGAGCAGGCAACAAATGCCCACTCTGGAACTTTCCATGATCCTGCTGCTGCCTCAGGAAAATATCAATCTCTTCAACCGCTTGTGTTCCAAAACCATCTTTGCAGCAACAGATTAAACGCGGCGTTTGGAACCACGTCCCCGAAAACAGGCACGGCTCTTTCCATCTCGGAAATACGGCCAAGTCCCCCGCGCTGCCGGCAGCACAGCAGCTGCCACCGCCTGCTCCAGGGGGCGGCCGGGAGCTGCCACCACTCAGCCTCCGCGCAGCTCGGCAGCGGCTCAGCAGCCAGCCGGGGGCGGCGGGGCCACCAGCAACCCTGCACACGGAAGTTACATCTGGCCTCTGGAAAAGGCAGAAGCACGCAGAGGACAGCTGCTCTGGGGCAGCAGCGGTACCACTGGGAAAGCGCCCCGGCACGGGGCGGGGGCTGCCTGCAGGGCAGCGTGCTTTGCGAGGATAAACATCTCCACAAGCCCTATTTACCAAATATTATTCAACACCAACTGTTTGGAAGTCAGCACTTCTCTCTTGTTGGCAAAACAGGTACAGCTCAGTTCCTAAAGCAAACAAAACATTTCATTTCCTAAAAACAAAGCCAACAGCCCGGTGTACGCACTTCCCCTTAAGATTCCCCTTATCTGAAACATACTATCGGTAAAAAAAAAAGGCATTTAGGACACAAGCGTTACAATGAATTAGCTTAAAAAGCAGGTACAAGGAGCTCTTAGAAGTTGTGGTTGGTGCAGAATTCCAGCTGCTCAGGACAGTTAGAGCAGAGATCCCTGACCTCCCAACTCCAGACGCTGTGCGGCTGCAGGAGCCCAGCAGGACTGCAGCTGGGGAGGGGGTACCTGGGGTATCAGCTGTACCTAGCTGTACCCAGACCTTGGTCCCCACAGCTGCCAAGGCTCTCAGAGGAGCTCAGCCACTCACTCACCCATCTGAGGTCTCCAGCTACCACAGCAAACGACACATACTGATACCACATCCAGACAAGCGTTCCCCTGCTCGACATTAATTGGAATTGCTGTTAATTACACCAGTACCAAATCTTTGGGAAGATTTCAAGCTGCAGCTATACGAATACCTTCAATGAAATGCCTGCACTGTTAGGTTCCCTATAGCAGGTTGCACAGGAAAATGTATGGGCAGGTCTTGAATATCTCCAAAGGAGACTCCACCACCCACAGGGCAGCCTGTTCCAGCGCTCTGTCACCCTCACAGGAAATTAGTTCTTTTTATCCTTTGCTGACCATGCTATCCTCTTACATGCATCCTGCATTGCAAATATGATAAAATATTATTAGCTCAGGTAGGTTAAGAGTAAACAGAAGTCAAAATTAACACACTTCACACTGTTAACTGCGCTGAAAACATAGGATTCCCTCATCCAAGGTGTGTTTTTTCATTGTTTTGTTTTTAAATTGTTACATCACTACAGAAGACATTTCCACATTAACATAAAAACCCAACCAACCCAACCCACTAACCCACTGCACTGTGACCACTGTTGAATTTCTGCAAGGCCCTCCAAGGCCAGGACTCTTCACCACACAGCCACCGTGGGAACAGAGCAGTGCAGCACCAGGAGCACAGCCCCCTGCGCACTGCTTGGTGGTGGCTGTGCATGCCTTCTTCCCCCACAGAGCACTCTGGTCTTTGCTACAACCCAATGGGACTTTCACTACTTCAGATGAAAAAAAAAAAAAAAAAAAAACAGAGTCAAAGCTATTGGTTTTTAACATTTGCCAATTAAGGCACTACCTCTCCAACTTCACGCCAAAACATTATTTTTTCAATTGATGCTTGGTGATAGAATGAGTGACAACTACAACACAGCGAAAGCAGAATGGAACTCAGCACTGCGTCTGGTGTTCCTGAAGACTTCTTGCTCACCATGGCCCCTCTGGCTTTTCACAGCCTCGTTCAGAAGAAACGCGGGTCAGAGCCACAGCACCTGCAGCTCACTGCCCGTGTCAGAATGTAGATTCACGTCTGAGTCTGTATTTGGGTAAAATATTACAGACTAAGATGCATATCGACACCACTGAAGAGACTCAACTTCTTTACATCAGAGATATAATTTAAGTTAACGCTAGTGTATGTTGTGTCAATTTCCCTTTGCATGTTCGCTGTTTGGTTGTTTTTCATTACAGATTTTGTCTTGTTGGTAACTACAAGCTGTAACTGGAGATATATTTGCTGCAAGTCGACCTAAGCAGCATCCTTGTCGTGGCCCATCACTGGAGAGAAGCACACAGCATCACTGGCAGTGGGGAAGGACAGAAGGAGGAGGTACGTTCTCCCAAGCAGGTACGTGTGTTTGATGTACAGTACAAGGAAACTCAGTACTTGGGCTGTCCTTACCAGCCTAAGGAGCTCCACGCGCGTAAGCGATCGTCGGAAAGGCCTGGAAGCAGCATTTCCTGCAGCAGTGCCCCGCCGCTCCCACGGCTGCGTAACGCCGCGCTCGCAGCCCGCGCCGCTCCCCGCTTCGGGCGCCAGTCCCGAGCCACGGCCAGCCTCCAGCTCGAGAGACAGCTCTGCTAGGCGGTGCCTCCCGCGGCCTCCCGAAACCCGACCTTTCCGTTCCCCCCACGCCTCCCCTCGCGCGGATTCCTCTCTCCCCCAGCTCCCGCTCGCCCTCGCCCCTCGATCACTCGCACGCAACCGGAAATCTTTTCCGTCCGCCCGGAAGAGCCCGGGAACAACGCGTGCGGCCGCAGGCGGCCGGCGGCCCAGCGGCCCCACCGCCTCCCCCCGCGGCCGGGCCGTGCTCCGCGCCCTGCGGCGCCCCTCTCCCGCCCGCCAAGTTACGGCCGCCGGCCGCGCTGCCCAGGCGCAGGGGAAGCGCGAGTGGCAGGGCGGTTCGCCCCGCACCGCCTCGGCGCGACCCTCAACTCCGGAACGTGGAAGAGGCGCGGAGAACGGCCGCAGAGAGCCGATCTGGGGGCGACGGCAGGGGAAGGAAGGGGAGAGAAGGGGAGGGAAGGGAGGCCGCGCCGCCGCCGCGCCCCGCGCCGGAACAAAGGGCCGCGCTCCCGGCCGCCGCCTGCCCGCCGCGCCTCCGCCGCTCGCAGCCCGCCGCCCCTACCTTCTGTCTCTCGGCGCGAACGATGCAACTCATATTGGCAGCCTCCAGGCTGCGGGGGAAGCCGACGCAGAGAAGCAGCCCCAGTCCGCCGGGAACAGGCTGCGGGGGAGAGCGGGGCTGGACGACGACGGGCGGGCGACTGGAGGGAGAAGCTTCGTTGCGGGCGCGGCTCAGCCCGCAGCTCGCTCGTAGCCCGTAGCCCGTAGCCCTCCGGCGCGCGGATGGGAGGCGGAGCTCCGCCGCGAAACGAGGCGGGGCGGCGGGCCTGCTGGCGGCAGGGCGGGAAGCCTCCGTACCGGAAACCTGCCCCCAAACCGCGCCGAGTCCGCGCGGCCCGGGGGCGGGCGGAGGGCCGATGTCGGTAGCGACGAGCCCAGTCCTCCGCTGGCCTCGGCTTTTAGTTGTGGTGGGGAAAGGTGCGCCTCTTCCTCCAGACAAATCCAGGTTTTCCCGGGTAAATCAGTTTTAAAACGTTGCAATGATAAAAAAGGGGTGTTTGAAGCCCCGTCTGTTTATTGTGTGTTTGCGTGCGAGGTGGCGTGCTGGGTTTCTGATTCATGGCTGGAGCCCTGAGCGCTCCTGCAGTGTCGCCGTAACTGAAACATGCAGGTGGATCTGGGCTGATCCTTGCTTGTTTCCTGATTAAAAGCGCCGTGGTCATCTGGAAGGCGGGTGACTGATTTGGCTTCTTATATCCCTGATGTATTTCCACTCCCTGCTCCTTTCAGTTCTTGAATCACAACCACAACTCAGTGCCTGCCTTCCCGCTCTTTGCTTTCTTTTTCAGTGGAGCATCCTATTAAGGATGTGTTAATCAAAGGCACTTGTGGTAAAGCTGGGAGAGAGAGGGAGGTGAAGACAAGACATAAGTTCTGTGATCAAATAAAGCTGTCCTGGGGATGTTCCTTAGAATCTCAGTATTAGTCAAAATGCTGTTACAGTATTCTCAGGAAACGATTTGTCTTTATAATCACAATTAATTATCAGTTATTGCTAGTGATGTCAAAGAGCAAGTATGGCATCCTCTTTACAGCACAGAGTTGATAGTGGCTTTCTCCCCTTGGTTTCACGGGGATCATTGTGACAAGGGATACGCTTGGGCTTCTGAAGCTGTGGCTAAACTCTGAGCTCAGGCAGTGTCTTCTTGGAACCAGATGCATTTTGGTCACCAAAACTCATTGCCCAAAAGATTGCTTTCTAATTAACATGAAATAAGTTTCACTTTAAACATAAGTTTTAACAAATAAAAAACAAATATGTTTATATAACCAGACTCCCATGCCAAGATTATAAATTACATCTCATCTAATCTCCATGAAATAAAGTTTTAATAAATAAGAAACAAATAAGTTATTACAGCTAAGATGTGGCTATATGTCCTGTGTAGTCTTCTGTAACATGCAAATAAGTTTATTTCAACGTGTTTCCTTTCATATGTTAAATGTTTCCTTCCAAATGATAAATGTTAAACAGTTATCATTCTTCCTACAAAAGAGAGCAGTAGGGTGAGAAACAAACTCTCCTCAGCTGTCACTTTTGTTCGAGAAAACAAAATCCCTATTTCAGAAAGACAAGGTATTACTCTTCCGGTTTTCTAAATTGTTTCTTCTTTTGTATAAAGCTATCCAGTGGTAGAATTAATATAAAACTATCCAGTGGTAGAATTAACGTTGCCGGTGCAAATACATCTTCTGCTTGAACTTTATCTAGGATCCCAAGTAGCTTGGCTGAAAGTGTGTCTAGAAATCATCAACAATTTTACATGAATATCATAATTGTTTAAATGACCAATCCAAGGTGGCAGCTGCCCCATTCCCTTTGCTACTGAACACATTAAAAACTGGTTGAATTAAAACTTGACAGCTAGCAAGTACTGAAGTATGTGAGATCACTATCTAGATGAAGTGCCCGGTTGAGAAAATTTAGATACAATATGAGAGAACGGTGTTTTTTACACCGTTTTACAAGCCAGTTTTCTATCGAGTCTCTGTTCATCCTTCTTAAGTGATGTAAACAACTTTCCTTCTAAATTTTGTGAGACACTACAGTGACCTTCTTTGATTAGAGATAGTATTGTGTTGGATGGAAAACCAGACTCCTACACCAAGACTATAAATTACATCTCATCTAATCTCCAAGAAATAAACAGAAGTCTTTTTAATTAAATTGGATTAGGTCCATAGGAAACATACACAGGATTCTGTCAGAGCCACTAGTTAAAGTCTTAAAAAAAAAAAAATTTTTTTTCTAACTACCTGTTCTTGAAGGATCTAATCTCAAAATCTCAGCCTTTAGGATGAAGTACTGTGGAAGTTCCAGTCTGAAAATGTAGCTTGCATTCAGAAAATAACTACAATTTTTGAAAAATTATAGCTCTTGCAACTCTTTCAAGACAATTTGCACCATGCGACTGTCAGCACATGCATTCACTACATAGAGATACTGCTTTAATTTATGTTACAGGTTATCTTTACTTGCTTGTGACAGGTTTAACAGTGTTTAGCCAAGAAGTAATACCAATCTGAAAGAATAGATGTGGGTATGTAAACCATGTAATAGCATGCACAAAGCAGTATCTGCCATGCTACTGCTCTCTGGGAAAGCAAATCAAAATTGATTTGTGAATCTTATTCCCCAACAATGGTGATGGATGTGTAAAGGAAGCTTGCTTAAAGTCTGGTCCTTTGAAGTATGTGTGTTCAGAAGACTAGCCAGGAACCATCATTCAAAAAGTCTCCAGTTTATGGCTTTCCTGTAGAACTTGGAATTTTTTTATTGGTTAAAATGAAATGAACTCTTACCTACTTTCTAGTTGTATTGAATTGTGGTTGCTAGGTGGTGAAATTTGCAAATATGTTCTACTTGTCCAATATAAAAATGATGAGTCCTTCCATATACTTGCATTGTATGTCTTTCTTGGCTTCATAAGGATAATATTTTCTTTGGCAGAAACATTCTGTTCAGAGTGTTGCACTAGAAGGCTGTAAAACTGTTTGCTTTTAAATTCTTTGTCTTCATGACCGTGACAGCTTCTGGCTGTGAAGGTAAGATCTTTGCACTATTTATTCTTAGTGTTGCTTTTACAAAATATGTTTGTGGACTTTACTGCAACATAGAATAATATCACAGAATGGCCTGGGTTGAGAAGGACCAAGTGATCATCCAGTTCCAACCCCCTGCTATTTGCAGGGTCGCCAACCAGCAGACCAGCCTGGCCTTGAATGCCTGCAGGGATGGGGCATCCACAGCCTCCTTGGGCAACCTGTTCCAGTGCCTCACCACCCTTTGGGTGAAAAACTTCCTCCTAATATCCAACCTAAACCTCCCCTGTCTCAGTTTAAAAACATTGCCCCTTGTCCTGTCACTATCCACCCTCATAAACAGCCGTTCCCCCTCCTGTTTATAAACTCCCTTTAAGCACTGGAAGGCCACAGTGAGGTCTCCCTGGAGCCTTCTCTTCTCCAAGCTAAACAATCAAGCAACGTGTAGATCGCAGTTAGCTTTCCCGTTTCTCTTTTCCCTTTCTTTCCTTTTCCTTTCTTTTCCTTTTAATCCCTTTTCAGGAACTGATTTGTACTAGGAGGCTTTTTTTTTTTTTTCAAGCAAAGCTCTTTTTTTTTAGTATTTCTGCATACTTGCAGGAAAACCTATTGCCCTTATTTTTTTTATTTTTAAAGTGATGCTAGCTTCTAAAAATAATGTGAATAAAATTGATTTGAAATCTGGACTCTGCATGTCTCCTTCAGAAGGAGAAGGCCAGCATTACTTCTGAGGTTACTTTAACTCTGCTAATATGCTTTAGCCACAATAATGCCAGGAGAGACTTAATTTCAAAATAGCAGAAGAAATACACAGAATGTCCTTTATGTCCTGTGAAAGGAAAGTTATTCCGTTTTTAGATCATCCTGACAGGAAGGCAGAAGGTTAATGAGAGAAACTCCTTTCAGGCTTTTTTTTTCACAAGTGGACAGGAACAAGCCAAAGATGAGTGATATTGTTTCTTGATCAATAACAATGAATTAATCTTAAAAACTCATATAATCTGTTCCCTCCATGGGATACAAAGGACACATAACTGTGTCATTGCTGTGTATTATGCTGCATTTTGACAGTGTCTGAATAAATAACATGCATGAACTTAGATCCTCTTTGATTTCATCCATGTGAGTTATGGCTTTTTGTTTAACATTTGTCACATGTTTCCTTTATAGGTAGAATTTGTTTCCAGAAACATTGATGAGTGCTACAACTGGCCTGCACTTAATCTCGGACTTTGATAGGGATCAGTAATGCTTCGGTGGAAACGAACTGTCACTGAACCAAAGGTAGAGCTTAGTTATCAGAGTATGTCTTATTTCTTTTGTGAGTCATGATATTTGTGATTCTGTTCTATTTTATGATTTCAGAACCATATGGAAACAAATTTGGCAGCATAGAAATGCATGAGACAACTATTTTATACTTACGCTCTGCTTTCTTATTTGTTGTGTTTGGTTTTTTTTTCACAGATGAATGGGCTGCTTGAAGAGAACTCTAATTTGCATGAGGTCTGTGCAAGAACTGACAAAAAGTGACTTGCTCAACTCCTGAATCAGACATTTTGTGTGACATCAGCAAGTACAGCATAGGGCTTATGTTGGATGCATAGTACTCCCATTCTAGGCGTGATACAAAATACCTGGCAGGGAGTCCTTATCTCCTCTGTTCTTTGGAGGCAGTAACTACCTGTGTCCTTAGCAGCTCTCTTCTCTCCCTGGAGCCTGAAAGAGGTCAGGACTCATGTTAGAGGATATGAGAGATGCAGATGTGTAAGGAATGCTATAAATCTTGGTGGTATAAAGATTTTATTATATTATTTATTGCAGTAGGAACCTCTTCAGTGGTAGGGCTAAAAGGATAACGGAGGCAACTGAGATCCCTCTGCTTGCATACTTCCTTTGAAAGTTGTGCAAGTGACTATTCCCAGTTTTTGTTTTAATGTAAGTCTGGTAGCTTCCAATTGCATTGGTAATATGAGCAAATCTCTCACAGTTTTAATAGGAGATGTTCATATTTAATGTCTGCAGCATGCGCTGTTTATACATAAGGATATCATCACCATGAAAATTAAAAGACATGAGTAGTTCCACGTTTCTTCTTATGGAGAATTTAAATACAAGTAAACTGGAAAAAAAAGCAGTCTGATTATTAAGATGAAATACTTTGGCCTTCATGTTAAGTTGTTATCATACCTAAGACGAAGAGTTTGCAACATGCTGGTAAAAAAATGTTTCAGGTGCCAAGATAATTATTGATGTTTGATATACATGTCTTGTTCCATCTCCAAAGTTCATCAGCCATCCCTACAAGGCAACATCGAGTTCCAACTCCTACTGTAGCTGAAAGCATGTTTACCTTTCAACTCTGGGAACAAGAATTGTCCTCTTGGGTAATTGTATGAAATAATAGACTTCACACATCTGATCAGTCCTATGTGTTGTTTTTTACTATGTTACTCTAATAATTGCAGCATTATTTATTTATGGTTGCACATTTGTAATAATCTTGCAAGTTTATAATATTAGAAAGATATATATTTAGGAAAAAGAGTGAAAGTTGTTAGTGTTTTTCTATCAGTAGTCTTCATATAGTCAGACCAAATAAAACATACAACCTCTCCTTTTATAACACACAGACTCCCCAGGGCAGTGGGCACAACCTCGAGCTGCCAGAGCTGTAGGAGCATTTGGATGCTGATCTTGGACATAGGGCTTGTGGTTGAGTGGTGCTGTGTGGAACCAGGAGTTGGACTCAGTGATCCCTGCGGTTCCCTTCCAACTCGGGATGTTCTGCAATTCTAAGAAAAGATAGAGTGTGTAATCAGCCTATACGAATTTTACTGGAAGAAACAAAGCAGATGCTCATTTTATATTTATTCATAGAAATATTTTCAATTTGAATAGCTGGGGCCTGAATTCCAAAGACAAACTGATAATGTTTTCTTGCTTTTCTCCAAGGAAGTTAACAGATCATCTATTTTTATCGATTATATTTTTTCTCTTATTCATTTCTCTTGTTTTGTCTGTTCATTTATGGTCTGTCTTTTGAATGTTCCTCAGTGATTTTCATTGTCTATTTTTATGTCACTTGGCAAAAACCAAAGTGATAAATTACAGACTCTTTGTTACAGAGAACCATCACCAATATCTTTACTGTTGTGGCACTTTTATGGGATGTCTTGTCTTTTCCTTTCAGTTATGAATGACAGCCTGCATGAGATTTGAAAATGAGATGGGAAAAGGGAAGCATCGTAGCTATTTGTAAAGCTGTAGTTGCAATGTATAGAAGGAAACGTGATTAAAATCTTTAAATGAATGCTTGATCCCTTCCTGTTCTGCGTCATTCTGTTTTTATGAGCTGATCAGGATTATGTCCTGTCATTATTTGGAGTTCTAGTATAGTTACTTTTCTTTAAGTTTTTTCCCACTGTAATTTCTGATCCCATTGCCAAGATTAATGACTCTTGTCTTACAACAGCACAGAGGGATTTATAGACTTGTTTTACAGTTTAAGCAACTGAGGCTCAAAAAGGCTAAACTATGGGTTTTAGTAACAAAGCTCTCCTAGTGATTCTCTTAATGAATTTGACTTCACCAGCCCTGACTCCTCCTTGACTTGGGACTTGCTTAGCTCATCTTTATCCAAAGTCATTTTATCCATTTTCTCTTCACATTTCCAGGCACACTTGTAGGTTTGCTGCCTGAAAACCTTTCATTAATTACCAAGCCTTTCATCACCTCTCAGTTTTGAACTCTCTCTCTGCTTGCTCCCAAGCTCACTGCTCTCCCCCTTACTCAGAATTTAGGTCAGAGAAGCAGTTGGTGAAGTGAGGTATTATTCTTCCACAAACCCACAGGCAGAAGCTTACTATCCTATCTCAAATCACTCGTACGCTATGCATGCAGCTGCTGCCATAGCTAGAGGAATATACTAGGCTGCCCTAAAACTGTCCCTTGTAGATATGGAAAAGATGTCCGTAGTTTGTATGGCAGAAGAAAGTCAGCTCTGCAGAGCAATGCTTAGCCTTCTGCCTCCTCTCTGCTGTGGTACTGGCACTGCTGCGTGAGAAGCACTGTGCATTTCAAATACAAGCAACTCCAGTATGCCTCTGTATTATATTCATAATGAGGAAAAGAGGTTATTTACGCGGTTCTAGACCTGCTTCTAACAGAAAACAGGAATATGATAAACATGGGTGCCTTTCTTAGTGTTACCAACCTTGCTGTAGTTCTACAAATCCAGCTGAAGAAACAAATGATTGGGAAGAGCAACCCCATTGTTTTTTATCCCTCTGTCACACAAAGGCAATTATTTGCTGGGACATGCTGTAACAGAGAACATATAAATTACACGGGCTGAGGTACAACTTCTAGGGAGTTTGTTTTTTTTTTCTTTCTATCTGAGTTCTTTTGGTGTTTGCAGGGAATTAACAGCTGGCTGGCATTTCTTGCACTTCTATCACTACAGCTGATGCACCAGGGCGTATGGTGTCAGGACAGTTGTACAGCATGCAGTGAAGCCCACAGAGTCACTAACTTGATATGTGAGAAGATCAGTAGAAGGCAGAGAGAGTGCCATAGCATAAGGAGGCTAGTTGTATTTTTTTGGTTAATAGTGTTGCAAAATAAGTACAAGATAATAGAGGCAGAGGATGAATGCAGAACTGCTATTCACTAAATCCTTCAATGGGAAGGTCCAGGTGTTGAAACTAGTAAGAAGCAGAGTTAAAACTCCAACTAAAGGAAGTACTTTTCTAGAAGGTGCAAACTGAATATCTGACATTTGTATCCACAAGAGGTCCTGGAGATAAATGATATCTGCAAATCTAAAATGGAATTAGACAAATTGATGAATGAATTTGCATTTCCTTTGACCATGTAAGAAGCAGACACTAGGTCTGAGAGCATTCCTTATACCCACTATGTAAGTAGATCTAGCATTGCTAAATATGCATTTCAGATACTTGGATTTGCTTTAGTTTTTAGCAGCACAGTGCTCGAGAGCATCTGAACAGAATACTATAATTAAAAAAAAAAAAAAAATGTTAAGATTTTGGGCAAGAAAATATAGCCAGGCACAAATATAACCATTTGAAATACATGTTGAAGAAAAGTTACTCTTTCATTTTTGGTATCACACAGAATTTGTGCCTAGATGAGTCCGCCAGCATTCTTGCTCTGGTACCCACAATACTTGGGAGGTGTGGAAGTGAGGGGCTTTGAGAGTCCAGAGAAAGATAGCTGCTGTACAAATGCATTCAACTGCTGTTACCATATAATCCTTTTTTATCTCTCAGGAAAATGCCTGCATTTAGACTAGGTGCAACTTGATGTTCTGACATTTTTTATTGACCGCCTTTTATTCTTAAATTCTTGCAGTGTAGCAGTGATAAATTCTGAATGCACACTCCTCCGTGGTGTTCCCCAGTGACCCTGCTGCAAACACACAACTTCTTTTCCTTGGAAATGACAGAAAGTAAGATCTTTGGAGAGACACAGAAGTCTATTTTAAAGAAATAAGACGGGACAGCTTATGTTATTTTTAAAATTTTGGGTCAAATTCCTTTCTGGCTCAGCATATTTGCTACATATTGATTTTGCTAGTTATGTAAGACATAAAAACGGCCCTTTGTCACCAAAAGCAGTGCAGCTGTTCCCAAAACCATGAGTCGTGAGCATGACTTCTCTTTTTATTTTCCCATTGACTTTTAAAAAATATACTTAAATTAGTTTTGCTTTTCAACAATGAAGAGAAGCAGCAATAAATTCTCCCAACAGAAGATTTGGCCAAAACATTAAATTTTCATGGGAAGGTTATGCTGTGAAATTGTTTTAAACTCTGACATTGACACGATGCTATGAAATATGGGAGAAGTAATATGATTGCATACGTGTAAAATTCAGACTGGAGGCACTAAAATTGTTGTCTCTAAGCAATGATGAAACACAGAGACAGACTGGCTGCTGAAGTTGTTTTAGATAACCAGGCAGTCAAGACCTCTGACCAAGCTAGCATCAGAGTGGTTTAAGTGTTTGTTGCTGGAATACCTAAAAGCAAAATAATGTTAGCAGTGGGGGAGGGGAGGAGGAGGGAGTGGAAGAAAGAAAAGAAAAAAAAAGAAGAGAAATTTAGGCTACAGTCCCACTATTGTGGCAATGTATTCATACATAGTTAATGAATTAAAACTATTAAAACTACTAAAGTGGCCTGAATGGATTAATAATGGACAGGGATACTAAGCAAGCTCATTGAAGCATATTGTATAATCATGCCTGCATTAAGGAGACTACCCTGATGGTTAACCCCAGGTTTTCCTTGTCCTCTTCCTACAGTATTTCAAACAGAGGTATGACAGCCTGGTACCAGTACCAATGTTCGCTTTTCAACCCTGTTTTGTTTTCCTCCAGCTTTTGTGCCAGGAGCTGACTGCTACTGCCATGTACCGCCAAATTCATTGCGCTCTTCTGAAGTAACGCCATCCCATTCCCTTCTGTGTCCACAGGATCATGTGGGCTTATTTTGACAGAACTCTGTCCCTAGCCTTTGATGCTCAACCTTCTTCCAGTTGCAAAGGAGCTGCAGTTCCCTGTAGACTTTTGTTTTTATAAAAGTAGAGAGAAAGAGAGTGAGAGCAAAGCTTGTCCAGAAAAATAACCTCGTTCCTTGTCAGCTGTTGTATCTACACTTTAAAACATTCAGATCCCTGTCTTTAATACTAGTGACTGCATGATGTGCCACAAAAATGCAGACGATGTTGGAGGAAAGAGCGCACAGTGATCTGGAGCCAAAGTTATGTGTGCATGCATGGAGTTCTGTACTGACCCAGAGCTGCCTGGCACATGTGTGCAGCCCAGCTTGCTAGCACACTCTCCCCTCATGGGCCACAAAGCTGAGCCAGAACAATGCGTTACAAATGCAAAGAAAGAAAGATGTGTGGTTCACTCTAAGTCAGCTGGCAGCCTGTTCCAGGTCTGAGAGATGAGTTAGTTGCAGACTAGCCCATTTACCAGAAGGTTTAGAAGTAAGGAATTTATGACACTTCTGCTCAATCCAACAACATTTTAAAAAGCCACTGTGGTCCTTAGGTTTCCCAGGTTCCATACAAGCTCTGAATCAGATACTCAACTCACTTCTCAGTAGTGCTGCTGAGAGTTAGCTGAAGCATGCAAGGCAGCAAGGTCGTTAGTACTATAGAACAGTGGCTTTCCAGCAGTTTAGATTGCATTTGCTAAAGCCACATCTTGCGCATCTAAAATTAGTCCATATATTTGCACTCATCTTCTCTAAGGTTTTTGGTCTGTTTTATGTGCTGAAAGCACAGCATGAACCTTCCTGGCTGCCATGTTCAAGATCAAAAGTAAAAAATACAGTAAAGAATTAATGAGTGAAATGTGCAGGTGCTATTAGAGCCATGCATCTCACACACTTGCATAAACTTCAACAAGTATGTAACTTTTAGTAAAAATAAATGGCAGCAACGTGGCAATGCAGGAATTGCTGATGCATTGCTGGATAGTTGTCATATACATTACGAACATTTCCAGTTTGTTTCAAAGGTTTTCAGTTTTGTTTGAAGTCTGGCAAGAAGCCTGCAGAAAAAACAAAAAAACTGCTCATGCAAAGCTTTTGTGGTGGATAGTTTGAATGTAAAAATCAGTGGATCTGTTTCATTCCACAACAATTGCAGGCAATCCATTCCATAGGACAGATACTAGATTTTAGGTCAAATTATTCCAACGCACCCAGAATTACCTATAAGACAGACAGCATTTCTTCTTCTCACTCTGGGCACATAAATATTCACATGTACACACCTATGTGAGTTTGGCTGAGAAATAAATTAGTGTGTAGGCGGGAGGTACACATAAGCTGACTTCTTCCCATTCCTTGGCACCATGCTATATAACCACACATTCGAGTTGGTGCAGGATCAGGGCCTGGATCAGCATTTCAAAAGCAGTGCTGCTGCTTAGCAACCATTTTCTGCCTGGATGAAAGCAGAAACCTTGCAAATCATAAACAAATACACAGGTCTATGCAAAGGCCAAGTAAAATAAAGTGGTGTCCTTTGCCTAACTCAGCTTCTTTTTTTTTCCCCCATGGTAAAATTTTCTATCAAGCAAAAACAGGATAGGGCTTGGAACTCGTGAGGAGGGGTTTCAAAGAAAGAAAAGAAAGAAATATGATGCACTGGGAGTTTTCAGCCACCGTAGACCATAAGAAATTTGGACTTTTATATTCAAAATCTAAAATTGATTTAAAATATTTTTTTTTATTTTTCATTTTCCCTACTGTAGTAATTACAAATATCTGTTCTTTTTCCCCCCCAAAAAAAACTCAGTATGGAATGGAGCGGATGTGAAATTGCTTCTGATGCATTTATTTAGTTGTTTTTATTCATATCAGTCAGACCCACTCTGAAATTTCATTAATTCTCAAGTCTTTGAAAAGAAAGCCACTGTCACCAGGCTGCAGAGCTGATGCTCTGCAG